AAGCAAAGAACTTGGTATCCTTTACAGCCCAGCATAACTAAGCTCTCCACAGTCAATGTCCTTTATTAAACAGAACTAGCTATGGACCTAACAACTAGCTCCATTGCTGCTCAAACTAAACCCTGGTGGGTGACCATAGTCTGAACACCCAGCTGGGAGGTGGAAATACTACTTCTAACCACGGCTCCAGCACTGCCTCCCTGCATGGTCTTGAGTAAGTCACATTGCTTCTGGCTCAGATTCCCCCTACATTTCAAAGGGTTACCCTGGAGGTTCCAGGAATTTTCAGTTGCTCTCTCAATTGTATCCAAACTGAAGGATTCAATCTTGTGGGGCACCTTGAAGGTAGCACGCTGTATAAAAGTCGATTATTGTTCTAGCGAACTGCAGCAGAAGCCATGTCAGGCCACCCCCGAGGAGGAAGAGAATACTGATACGTGGGGCACCCAAAACGTTGACTAACTTGATTCTTGCCTACCAGGGAAGAAACAACATATAGTAAACATGCCTCCAAATTTCAGCTCTAATTTCCTATTCCCAAGAACCCAAGTAGTTAGATTCATCCATAGCACCTGAGCACATTCCTGGCATGAGATTCAAATGGAAACAAATTCTGTGGTCCTAATAGGCTCTATACACAGTAATGCAAAACAATCCTCTCTCAAAGGTACTACAGCAGTCCGTTTCCTAGTCACCTACTGCTGCCTCATAGTGTAATGCCCTGTGGGAGCACTTCCATAGCTGTGTCCCAGGTGGTGGAGAAACACTGTTAATAGCCAGCAAAAAGCAGCAGCTGCCCTTTTGCAAATGCAGACTACAGTATATTATCCTGGCAGTGTGAAAACATTAGCTTAGTACAGCAGTGGGAAGACTCCAGTAACTCAGTGCCACTGGTATAAGCATATTCACAGGCACCAAATCTTCAGGAGTGCTCTGTTGGGCCTGTCCCGTGCCCGTTCACATGAGGGTGCGATGGGGTTGAGCTCTGAGAAGTAGCAGTGCTCTGCTCTGCCATGGCAGCTGTCAGAGGCATGGAGAGGCCTTCCGGGGAAAATGCGGCTGGCTCTTGTCTCCAGTAGGCTTCGCACAAAGGAAGATCATTGCTGTCACACAGACTGTAGCTTTCCAGAAAAAAACAACCCCGGGAAGGAGAGACAGCAGGCGCGATCAGAGAGGGGAGGGGGGTAAAAGAAGGGGAGGGAAAAGGCAAGACAGAAGCAAAGCGTTAAGAAAATGACAAAAAAAAATGTTCATGGATGTAATCTTTGTGAATCACAAATACATCACAGTTCTCATGACACTGACATTCCCTCCAGAGTAAGGACCAGCATTTGATCTCAGTGACCCTGCAAGGAGCAGATGTGATGGCACTATAAAATCAGTGGCGCTACCTCAGTCTGCAATAGATGTATGGCATCAATCCCATTCCCATTAAATCCAGAAAAAAGACATCTGGTATAAAATTCTGTTCCCAGTGAAATCAGTGGTATTACTCATTGTGTTCAGTGGGGCCAGGATCTTGTTCCTGGCGATTTTACTGGGAGAAAGGAGAACTGAATCCTAATTTGACCAGTGAATTTGAATGTCCTACATATACTATATATAACATACAGGAATTATGTAACATATGTCTATGTATATGATCTCCATCTTGCTGGATTTGACCACTGAAGAATACAGAATTAGATCAATGGTGTAAATAGTTGCAGCACATCTAAGCTGGTGGCTCATTCTTGTCTGTTCTTTAATATGAGGTGGATGCAAGGAGCCAGGGCTATAAATCAGAATGAGAAATAGAAAAATGCTGGAAGAGACTGGGAAAAAAAACAAAACAAAACAAAAAAAACCAATTTCCAAAGAAGAAGGACCTGTGGACATGAGACACACCCAGAGACCAAAGTGAATGCTGAAGCAGAGAGCAGATTGCATTCAAAGGAAAACAAACCCAGTGGGTCAAGTGGGGTTTTGGTGCTGTTTTATTTACAATGAATAGACTCAAGTCAATATTTATAGAAAATAGTTTAACTGTAAAATATATAGAGAAGGAACACTTCAAACTGAAAAACCGTGTAGAACTTAACCCCGCATTCCAGACTTCTCCCCATGCTGCCAGACAAGGGAGTGGTGGAGCACCAGCATACAACTCTGGCTGTACGAGGCTGGATAAGGCAAGCGCAGGTTCATGAGTTTACAGCTTTGGGGAATAAGCAAGTGAGGAGGTCACTGATTTAATGCACTTCGGTTTGGGCACCAGAGAGTGGAAGAGCAACCAGGGACTCCAGTTGTGTGGAACCTTAGTGTGCTCCCGCCCAGCAAGGTGCAAGCCTCCTAGTAATTTCCTTGGGACCAAAATCAGATCCCTACTAGACAAAGAAACCCACTTGACCTTAGGAGGTTCACAGTGTTGATAGT